TAGAAGGTTTAGGGTTTAGGTCTATAAGGTTTCAGGCTTCGGGCTATAAAGTTTAGGGCACAGAGCTTCAAGGTTAAGGGTTTGGGGCTTACCCTTCGATTAGTCTCGGTTTAGGGTTTAGGGTTTGGGGTATCCTTCAAGGAACCCCCGTGTTTCGTAGGCATCTAGGATCTTCGGGCTACGGGGTTAGGGTTACAAGGGTTAGAAGCTCCTAGGGACCAGGGTATAATATTATAGAAGCCTTAAGTTTAATAAATTGAAATGGGTTTAGGGTTTAGGGTTTAGGATAAATCCAAAGGGAACCCCAAAATAGTATGGGTAATTATTTAGGCCCCTTTTGTGAGGGCTTTCGGGGTTATGGGATTTCAGGGTTTGCAGGGTTGCTTTGCTTCGGGATCAGGGGATGTAGGGCGTCATGTTCTGCCATACCTATGCCGCTACTGATCTACCTCATCAAACACTCTACATCCGAAAGCTCTTAATCCGACTCGTGCCCCCTAAACAGTAGCTGCCTATCCCAATCCGAGGCCTAAAGCCTAAAGCATTGAGCTGCGAGGTACCCTTTGGAACGGTCGAAAGCACCAAGAAGTCATCAAGGGGCCTGCAATGTTAGAAGAAGGTTTTGGCGTGCAAGGCTGTGGGACATTGAACTGCCACTAATCCTCCCGATCTCTACCCTAAAGCCCTCAACTCCAAAACCCCCTAAAACCCAAAACCCTAAAACCCCCAAACCCTAAACCCTAAAACCATACATCGTCCCCAAAACAGTCCGTCGGCCTCCGGCCAACCCGAAACCCAAAAGACTAAGTCCAAAGCAGACAGGGCTCTTCTTCCTCTGCTCTGCCACACGTGACTCCTCCTTTTCACGCTTGCGGCGAACGACCTCTTCGTTCAGCACCTGCAGGAACCCTAGGGACCAAGCACTTCACAATCATATGCTCCCCCCAAAATACTAGACCACAGTTATTGCTGTCCTTCACACAATTACCTATACTTTCCAAAAAAAACTTCACTAAACCAAACTATATCATTTGAGTAATGGTAGAGCGTTTGGGGTTTAGGGTTTGGTTTGCAGTTTGTCCGTTCAAGCGGCTTGCTCAGTTCAGGCTTGTAAGGAGAGGGTTAGTTCAGGCCCAGGGAGACCCTGGGTATAACGAAACAACACCGACGTGTATATACTTTCCTCACGAATGATCCTCAGGAACTACGCTTCATCGTCGCAAGACTGAAACACATTGTCTTCTGCTGCCCTGCTAGAAGGCTTAACCCTAAACGCTAATGTAGGGGCCTAAATAATTACCCATATTACTGTTAAGGTTCCTTATTATACTAACACGATAATTATAAGGGAGCCCCAAACCCTATTCTAATTATTAAGGCCCCTACATTACCCTAAGCCCTAAACCCTTAACCCCAAGCCCTGAACCCTAAATCGTTGAGCCTCAACGCAGCCCTTCTAGCCCGGACCCATCCCTAAACCTCAGATCGTGCACCTTCGCCCCGAGAGCTCCACCAACCGGCAAGGGTCCGACAAAGCAAATCTGCGGAGCCCTGAATCGCCGCATAACCATAACAAACCTGTCAGCCGCAGAAACCCTAACAGAACCACTTTGAAAGTCCTCAAAACACTGGGCCTTTGTGAGTGGTGCTAACGCTGAATCCTAAACCCAACTCAGATCCTAACTCCGAAGGCCTAAAACCTGAACACTGAATCCTAAATCCCTTAACCCTGAATCCTGAACCCGCCGGCCCCAAACCCTGAATCCTAAAACCCAAACCCTGAATCCCATATTCTAAGCCTTAATTCCTAAGCCCTAAACCCTAATTCCTAAAGCCTGCATCCTAGACCTGAACCCGAACCCTAAACCCTGAATCCTAGCCCCAAACCAGAACCGAATCCTACACCCTAAATCCAGGATCCCAAACCCCAAACCCAGAATCCTAAACCCCATACCCTTAAACCCAGAATCCCAAACCCTAAACCCTTAAACCCAGAATCCTAAACCCCAAACCCCTAAACCCCGGAACTCTTCTGGCCTCCGCCTTCCTCTCCACCTTCCAGCGAGCTCGGGCCAGAAGTCGGGCTGACAGCGCATCCTGCGATGAGGATTTAAGGCTTTAGGGGTTCGGGCTCAGGGGTTTAGGGTTTCGGGTTTGGGGCTTAGGATTCATAGGCATAAGGTTAAGGTTTTAGGGTTTCGGGCTCAGGGGTTTAGGGTTTAGGGTTTAGGGCTTAGGATTTAGCGTCTAGGGTTTGGGGCCTGGGGGTTTAGGGTTTGGCAGAGGCCCCTGTATCTTCGGGAGTTTAGGGTTTAGGGTTTAGGGTTTAGGGTTTAGGGGTTTCTTTTGGCCTCAAGTGTATGGGGCGATCGGGGGTCTAGGGCTCAAAGGTTTGTTTATGGGGTTTGGGGGAACCTTAAAACCCACTACCAATACCATGTGAGGGGTATGCTTAAGGATTTTGGGGTTTCGGGTTTGCTCTTCCCAGTTCTGTATGAGGGTCCCTTTTTTACATGTTCTGAAACTGCCCACATAAAAGCTAAGAAAGTAGGAGCCTTATCATAAGAATTACCTTATAGTTCCTTAAATTTCGAGAGATGACAGGAGCTTTCTAGAACCTTTGCCGCATTCGGAACCCTAAACTAAACCTAAACCCTAAACCCGAAACCCTCAACCCTAAACCCTACACCCTAAACCCTAAACCCTAAACCCTAAACCCTAACCCTAAACCCTACGCCCTAAGCCCGAAACCCAAACCCTAAACCCTAACCCTAAACCCTAAACCCTAACCCTACACCCTAAGCCCGAAACCCAAACCCTACACCCTAAGCCCGAAACCCTAAGCCCTAGAACTCCTCAAGGAGCTGCTTCCGCCGTTCGTCTTCTGGCGACAGAGGTCTCCTCATACATGGGCTGCTTCGGGTTTAGGGTTTAGGGTTTTTTTTCCCACCCGCCCAGCTGACAAGTCGCACCGCAGGGATGACTTTAGAGTTCGAACTCAGGAGAAAAAGACTCGTGGGCCTCCAAGGAGGGTTTAGGGTTTAGGGTTTAGGGCACTAACTGTGGTTTTGTTATTATGCTTAAGGCTTTGCGGGGGATTTTGTGGATCCTAAATCTACCCTTATAATAGGCCCCCTAAGAAATCTACCCTTATAATAGGCCCTATAAATCTCCACGGGCTGATTTTGAACGGCTTTGCGGGCGATTTTGCGGATCCCTCCGGTTGAGGGTGTAGGAGAAGGGCTGAGATATTTTGGACGGACTCTATTGCTTCCATCCTAAACCCCAATGTTTTTAAGCCTCTATACTAAACCCCAAAAAGTTGGACACCGGATTAATGACAAATAGTGCTGGGATTCCCTTTACATTACTCTTAAGGATTGAGGCTATTGGGTTTCCAACTTTTGGGCTTCTACTATAAACCCCAAAACCCTAAACCCAAAACCCCAAAACCCTAAACCCTAAACCCCAAAACCCTAAACCCAGAATCCCAAACCCTAAACCCTTAAACCCGAAACCCAAAACCCCAAAACCCTAAACCCTAAACCCAAAACCCTAAACCCCAAAACCCTAAACCCTAACCACCCAAAACCGACATGAGCCCAGCGGCAGGTCCGGGGCCATGATCTGCCAGGCCTCCAGTGGCTGCGTTGGGAGCGGGATATCCTTTACGTTTGGGTTTAGGGTTTAGGGTTTAGGGTTTAGGGTTTAGGGTTTAGGGTTTTGGGTTTAGGGTTTAGGGATATAGGGGCCAAGGAGACATGACTGAGTCGGGTTTGGGAATCAAAGATACTTTTTGCAGTCGCCAATTTGGCAACGTAGAGTTTAGTAGTGTTGAGTTTGCCTTGACCATATAATGTAGGGGCCTTTAATAATTAGAGTAGGGTCTTGGAGCCCATTATACTATAACTATAGTAAGGAACCTAAATAGAATAGAAATTATTTAGGCCCCTATATTACCCCAAACCCTCATAATAAGGAACCCGTAAATAGTATAGGAGTTATTTAAAGCCCCTATATTGCCCCAAACCCTGGATCCTAACTACCCCTTTTTGACACATTAATTCATGTCCTGCTTGTGGCCCTAAACCCTAAACCTTAAACCGTGGCTTGTGGCACCGGACCCTGAGCCCCAAAGCCGTTAATCCAGGGTTTAGGCTTTAGGAAAATTCTAGAAGGGTGTTATGGCATCTAGCCTGCTTTTATGAGGTGTGTGAGGCTTTTACAAAGCATTATATGTGGGGGCCACCATGGCCAGAATAGGGTTTTGGGACATGTTGCACTATGAGTATTAATAGCTTGTGTTCTAGAGACGGTCAAGGAATATTACTCGGCCGCGCCTCCGCAATTGATCGCTCATAGAGTTGGCTATACTCATCGGTCGAGTCACCGGCGTCCTGTTTCGGGTTTTCAAGTTTGGGGGAACCCCAAACCCTAAACTGGGTTTGCATCTTGAGGGCCCCCCAATATCAGCTGTGGACAAGTACCTTTATACGACCACAAGGGAAATAATTAATCATCACTCCGGATGTTCTCTTGCTGTTGGGCATGTGCTGCTTGCGGCGTGGCTGTCCAGAAGCCCAGAATCCTGGCCATTTCGGGCTGCGCGTGATCTTTAGCTTCCCGGGTCAAGGTAGTCAAGGAAGATGAGCAGACCATGTTCCGCAATAGCCTTGCGACTACGAAGAGCGGCAAACTCCGGTAAAAAGACACTTTCTACAAATCCCTCCGCCCCTTGTCCTGGTTGATCTCCTTCTGATCCGCCTCCGGCACCAGCATCAGGTGAAACTTTCGTGCCTCTTCATTGAGGTCACCTCAGTAACGACATGGGCGAAGAATGCTTGCCGTATCTTACCTGTCTTGTACATGGTACCCCTATCGTCCCCACTGCAAGCCTTGAGCGCTAAAGAGGACTCCAACACCGTGACGTATTCAGCTGGCCCCGAAAGGCCTCAACTCCAGAAATCACCCCCGAATCTCAAAGATACCCTAAACGCTCCTCAAACCGGACTTGATGACCCTAAACTTTTAAACCCTAAACCCTCTAAAGACCCTAAACCCTAAACCCTATAAAGCCGAAACCATTGTAACAGACAAAAACCATCGAAGGCCGAAGGGCCACCATCGAAGGTGTGGACAGCTGAAGGCTTGAGGGCCCTTTCGGGTTCAGGGTTTAGGGGCTTACGGTTTAGGGTTTAGGGTTTAGGGTTTAGAGTTTAGGGCTCAGGGTTTAAGGGTTCAGGGTTTAGAGTTTAGGGTCTTTCTCTCGGGCTTTGAGCCTAGAGTTTGGGGGGTTTAGAGTTTAGGGTTTAGGGGTTTGGGGATTACCGTTTAGGGTTGTTCAGGGTTCAGGGTTTAGGGCTTTAGGGATTACTGTTTCGGGTTTAAGGTTCAGGGTTCAGGGTTTAAGGCTTTGTGGATTACTGTTTAGGGTTTAGGTGCCTGACTGAGTGGGGTGGGAGCTCAGACACGAAGTCTACTTGCGGAGGGCTCTCTGAATGTCCCAGGCGCTTTTGATGCTTCGAAGATGCTTCACCTGCGCGACAAGGGCTTTGGGTTTAGGGTTTCGGGTTTAGGGCTTCGAGTTTAGGGTTTTTGAAGGGCTTGGGCCTAGGCTTGCGGTGAGCCGCATGCCGCATGCGAAAGCCACAATAACGAAGCAGGCGGGCGCTGTTGCGAGAGAGTACTGCGACAAAAAGGCAGCACACTGTTTTCTCTCAGCAGTGATGGCACACCATGCCATACCCTAACCCCCCCAGGTACCTACTATATAGGGTACCAGAGCCCCTAGGGCCCTATATAGTAGGTACCTGGGGGGTTAGGGAAGTATGATTATACCCTAAACCCTAAACCCTAAACCCTAGAACCTAAAGCCCTAAAACCCGAAACCCTAACACGACTTCAGCTGGTCGTGAGTTGCACACGGTGGGCCCTGCCTGAGACCGTCGGAGGAAGACCTCCGCCAACTCCTCTGTGGCGACCATGAGCTTGATCTTCCTTTGGGTTTTTTTCTAAGCACCTTTTTCCTCCTGCTGTCAGCGGTCGGATTAGGGTTTAGGCTTTAGGGTTTAGGGTCTAGGGTTTAGGGCGACCATAAGCTTGATCTTCCTTTGGGCGTCGCATGTGGACTGCTCTTTGCTCGAAGCCTGTGTGGCTCTGGGCTCAAAGATGCGCATGGCCTGCTCTTCCATTTTGGAGGTTACTCTGCTGGTCGCACTCTAAACACACAGCGACGAGGGCACGGATTGCCAAGCTGTATGACTCCGGCTCGGGGGCATCGACAAAACTGGAGTAACCTGCAAGATGCCCTGAACCCTTCAAGGCCCTTTAATGCCCTAAACCCTGAACCCCACATCCGACTGGTGCCGCCAAGCCTACAGAGAAGGTCCACCCTGCTAACCGCAAGGCTCCTCGAATGCGTTCCGGTATGATCCCTTGTTCTGCCCTCACCCCACTCGAAAGTAGGGTCTAGCCCAGGGTCTAAGGTTTAGTATAAATGGCTAACAAGCCGCCAAACCCGATACTTCTACTTGTTTAGTTGCAGGGAGGGAAATTGCGTCCCAGGAACAGGAGATTGTTGGCAGGCTCGTGGGACAGTTGCAGATTTGCACTCACGGGGCTCAGCACATATGCCGCCTCCTTCATGCAAGAAGACCAAATCTACAAGCCAGCCAGTACACTGTATACATTGGGAAGAGGGTTTGGGTATGTTATCGTCTTCCTATAGGGACCCTAACGAATACTCTTGCTAATTATCCCCGAGTTTCCACAGATTCAACGGTACTGCGCCCCCACCCGGAGAAAACACTGGCGAAAGGGGGGGTCACGTTTGTGCACCATTCGATGCAAAACATGTCTGCTCGCTGCATGCTTTGGGATTGGACTCACTGGAAAACTTTGGGATATATTTTATCCTCTCTTTTTGATATATGAGATGTGGCCAAATACTGTGGGCCGATACGTTTCATATTCTTCATTTATGATTCGCGGAAGCTCGTGAGCACCGCCGCACACGGATCCTAGCACAAACAAGGCTAATCTACTGCAACAGCAACTCTGCAACAAACACCTCCATCAGCAGCGGGGCACCCCTAAGCCCGAAAGCTTAAACCGCAATGCCTCATGCGATGAACAACTCAAGAGCCAAATCTCTAATCCCAATCCGCCGCCAACCTTCCAGCGTACCCTGAACCCCAGACCTGCGAACTGAGCCCCCAGGCTCCCCAGCATCCCTTTAAAAAAGATGCCCTTTCCCAAGACTCCGAAACAACGTAAACTGGGTGCTTCGGAAAGAACCTCGTCCCTGAACATGGCGTATTTCGGATGTATAGTAGCCTAAACCCCAAACCCTAAATCCAAGCCCTAAGCCATAAACCCCTTTATAAACCCAAAACCCTGAACCCTCATTGGGTCTGAGAGTTTCCCGCTTGACGTCTCGTGTGCTCCTGGAGGTCTCTGGTGCCAGCGGGCGACATTCGGACGCTGAAGTCCTTCGCGGGCGGCTCTGACAATGAGAGGTAGAGGGTTGGGTTTAGGGTTTAGGGTTTAGGGTTTAGGGGAATGAGATCTACCTATATAGTCTCCATTGTAGTTCCTTTTGGGGGGATACCTTATAGAATCCTTAATATATATTTGGTTGAACCACAAAAGGAACTACAATGGAGACTATAGGTACAGAAATACAAATATACTGCGGTCACCTACGCAGCAAAAATACACAATTGCGCGCGGTAAGCAGCATGAACGAAGATCTGAATGCAATTTGCTTAGGCGCACGAGGAGGAGAATTTACAGTGATAGGTATGTACAATGATACACAATGCAATCGAACACAGCCTCGGGAAATCGAACATGTTGGGACCAGGCTGGTAGGCATGTTTAGGTTCCTATGTGTTTCACGGGTTTATTGGATTTGAGTTTTGGGTTTTGGTGTGCTGTCTGTGGGGGTTTCTAACCTTACACCCCTAGACCCTAATCCCTATTTGAGTTTAGCCGTGCTTAGCCATACGGTTTAGCGAACCTGTACTTCCTTGGCTGAAGAACAGCAATACCGGCCCAAGGTTTCTGAATCAGGCTCCTATAATATTAGTGTTATTGCTCCGATCGCAACAAGAATCCTGACAATCGGGCCGCAACTCAGCAGTTTAAGCGTGAAGAAAGCTTCGCTGAGAATCCGGAAACCTTCAAGGGGAATCATAAGGGTGTGCAAGGTAAGTGGAGTCTTGAAATCCATGTGACCCAAACTTAAACCAAACACTAAAGCGTAAACCCTAAACCCTAAACCGCCTCAGCCCCTGGTCGCTCCCTGCTGCCTTCATCTGTAGGGTTTTGTACATCGACTCGCCAGGAACCACGGCACCTCCGCAGGCGACTTGGGCGCTTGAAACGAGGCCAAAGGTCATGAGGTTCCAAAGCCTCGAGGAATTGATGTGATCCCTCTGTTGGCCAGGGAAAGATCTGGGTCAGTGACTGGACCCAAGGACAGACCAATGCAAATCAAACGAAGTGCACCAATGGCGACCGCCCGCCTTCCGAGTCATCCCGCTCGCGGAATGTCTTATCTGTTGACAAGACCGCCAGGTTTGGCAAGTCCTGAGTTTGCGGTTTCAAGTCTCATATCCTGTCAAGGTGATGTCAGCAACCAGCAGAGCACACGAAATCTTGGCTTGGAAGTGCTGCAGCAAATCAGCCCGTCCATCATTGTGGCGAGGCTTGAGTTCTGCCGAGACTCCATGCAGCATGCAAGCCCGCGCTGGCTGTTCATGAAAGCAACATGGACATCCTGTTGGGCAGACAGGCTTTCACTGGGTTGGGGCTTTCCCACTACGAATACTTGCGTAAGGAACGGTGCGCAGCCTTCGGTTTTGGAACATCTGGGTGGATACCGACAATAGCTAGCAGCTAGATGTTGTACAGTAGGCTGACGATTCTCGAGTTTGCCTTGGTTCATGGACCCGGATCTGCAGATAACTTCCAGTTGGTGAGAATGCAATAATGCAACCTTCCTCATCTTTCCGGGAATCGAGGACCTTCGCAACCACTGAGAGACATGACAAGCAGCAAAACGGTACAATCTGACTGACTGTCACACGACAGAGTAGCGATAGAAAACCCTTGGGCCGGCAAATAAAACCTATATTGCCCAGCGGCCCCATAAATCTAAGGGTACCCTTTTTCCTTCTAGTTGGATCCAATCCGGGAACCCACAACAAGAAAGGGCAAAAGGAAACCCTAAACCATGACCCGGTGCTATTGGGGAACCCAACCGTCTAGGGTTTAGGGGTTTAGGGTTTAGGGCCTTCAGGCTTATATGCAGTATGCTTGATCAGAACCTAGACATCAACTGTGAATACTCGAATTTCCAGTCCGCAAAGAAAGATCCAGAGATCCAGCCCAACAAGTAACTGTCCTAGACAGAGCGTATCGTAATAATAATAATAATAATAATAAGTCATCATTACTACTATTGTAAATGCCAGTATTACTCTTGCGATTTTCTACGGCACAGTGTATAGACACACCACCCGAACTTCTAAGGTAGAACCCATGGGCCCCTAGTATGAACCCTCAACCCTGGGACCCCAATATACCGACTATATACCCTATCTATACCCTTAAGGGACCCTAGAATCCCCTAAGGGCCCATGTTAGGGGCCCATGGGTTCAACCTTAGGGTCCCTAAACCCTAAACCCTAAACCCTAAAATTAGAGAACTGGAGGCCTCCAAGACCACCGTGATGTTGTTGAGAATCTTCCGCGCCAAGTTCATGCCTAGACCTGGGTGTTGGGGGTTTTTAGGGACAGGTGGCAGTTTAGGGTTTAGGGTTTCGGGTTTAGGGTTTAGGGTTTCGGGTTTAGGGTTTAGGGTTTAGGGTTTTAGGGTTTAGGGTTTCGGGTTTCGGGTTTCGGGTTTTCACAAGCTACTTGTCTCTTAGACCTTAGCTTCTTTTGTGTGGCCGATTCATCCCCAACACCGATAATAATACCAAACCCAGCAGTCTCGGCACACCGAGACTGAGAGAACCCAAGCGATGTGAAATGAGCGGCTGGTGTTGTCGCTCGCAGCGTTTTCATCGTCGCTGTCCTACCAGGACCAGGTGGGGCTTGCTTTTACACCTGCTGACTGAGCACCTAAACTCTCAGCTGTAGTGCTTTTTCACAAGATCCTCAGCATTGAACCTGTTGAACCAAAAAAGGAACTACGATGGAGACTATGGGTAGACCTTCTCTTTAGGGTTTAGGGTGTAGGGGAAGTTTACAACCAGGCTTGTAGAAAGTATTCGATGAAAGCGCATGCCACTGACAGCTTGAGTGTGTGATCTATCGGAAAAAACCTTCGAACGTCTGTCGGACATAACCCCCCTCTCGAATTCCCGACCCAAACCCTAAACCTTAAACCCTAAACCCCTAAACCCCTTAGCCCTAAACCCCTAACCCCTAACCCCTAAATCCCTAAACCCCTAAACCCTAAGTTCCGGGTCCTTGCTGCGGTCGACTAAGTCCTGGAGCTGTTGCATGCGGACTTCAATGGCCTGCGGAAGGCTTCGTGTTGGACCAGGGGGTCGCCAAGGCCTAGTTTTTTGCCTCCTAAAGGCCTAGTTTAGGGTTTAGGGTTTAGGGTTTAGGGTTTAGGGTTTACACCTAGCCTGTGGGCCGATGAGGTACTCGTGCAGCCTTAATAGTTAGAATAGAATAGGATTTGGGGGGATATTATACTATAACTTACTATAACTATAATAAGGAACCTCAAGGTAGATTATACTATGACTTATTCCCTACAGTACAATAAGGAACCCCAAATTGGGGTACTGGTATTTGTTTAGGCCTCTATATTAACCGTTGGAATTGGGAGCTTCCAGGAATCCAGAAGCCGAGTCCAAACGCGAAATAGCAGAATCCCAATCATAAAGACCACTAAGTCAGGCGCACCCAAATTAGGATTAGGGGGTTAGGGTTTAGGGTTTAGGGTTAAGTTTATGGGAGTTAGGATTAGGAAGACCCTTGGAGATACAGACTACCTAGGGTTTTAGAAGTGCCCCACATGGGTCTTTTTAAATTTGTATCTGTAGTTCATTATTTTCACGAAGCCAGGACTCGATGCCCAGCGCCGCCTTCACGACTACAACCCTCAGCCGAACCGTCCACGGCATCCCGGCTCGAACGCCTTCGGGGCTGCTTACCCTGACCCTGAGTCCTAAACTATAAGCCCGAGGGATTCGGGTCTGCCTTGCCTTCTCTTTGGCATCGCGCATCTCCTTGATAAGCTCCGCCTGGCAAGGTCTCATCGCAGGGGCATGCAGCCAAGTTCACACAAGGGCGAAAATATCAGAGCTGGCTCTGCAGACATGCTTTCCGACCCCCAGAACACCTTATATGTGTCCTGGAAAGAGGTAGGAGGCTTCAGCCTGAGTAGACGCGGCCGAGGCTTGCATGGGCTTTGGGATGTCTTCCTAGACAGGGTCGCATGAGCCTTTAAGGGAATGGCGTAGGGGTAACAAGGAGCCATGAAAAAGCTAGGCGATTAAGGGTTCAGGTAACCCCAACCCAAAAACCTTAATCCCTAAACCCTAATCCCCGATGCCTAAACCCGAATCCCTAAACCCTGGTGCCTAATCCCTAAACCCTTATAACACGCTAAACCCTAGACCCTAAACCGTAAACCCTAAACCCTAGACCCTAAACCGTAAACTCTAAACCCCGAGCCCTAAACCCTAAAAACACGGGCTCGCCTCACTCTTGCCATGAGCGCTCTCAGCGAGACTTTCGACCTCCAAGCCTTGGACTTGGCAGTGTAGGGTTCGGGGGCTTAGGGGTTTTAGGGGTTTAGGGGGTTTAGGGTTTAGGATTTAGGGTTTAGGGTTTAGGGTTTAGGGGTTAGGAGTTTAAGGGTTTAGGGGCTTTGGGGTTCAGGGGCTTAGGGGTTAAGGGGTTTAGGGGGTTGAGGAGTTTAGGGGGTTTAGGAGTTTAGGCGCTTAGGGTTTCGGGTCTAGGTTTAGGGCTCATTACTTAGAGTTTGGGGCTTTGGACTTCGGATGTTGTCGTCTGGGGCTGCTGCCGGGGTTTGGTACGGGTTTCTAGGGTTTTGGGGTTTGGGGTTTCGGTGTCAGCATACCACGATGTACCGTAATCCAGTTTAAGGTGTGGGGTTCTGGGGTGTTTCTGGTTCGAACTTTAGGTTGCAGTGTGAAGCGGTTGAGGGTTTAGGGTTTGGAGGTTGGGATTTATGAGGTTCCAGTGTATCTGGGCTTTAAAGGGTTGGGATGTAATTAGTGTTGGGTTGATATGGTAGGGGCCTTAAAAATTAGAATTGGGTTTTAGCACCCACTATACTGTATATACTTACACGAAGGAACCCCCACAATAGTATAGGTATTTGTTTAGGCCCCTGCATTGACTTGAAGGCGGCTTTAGAATCTACGGAGTGAATAGAGCTTTCGCGGCTTTAGGGTCTGATAGGCCTCAGGGAGTTGTTTGCCAGTAGTATTCCTATTCCTATTCCTATTACGATTACTATGAAAGATTAAAGGGCTTGGGGTTTAGGCCGTACAATATTGGGGGACCTAAAAGGGACCCTAATTTAGAGAACTACCCATGTAGACTGCCACCCATGCTCCACCAGCCTCACCCTTGAAGCTGGGTTTTAATCCTGGGGTCGAGAGACGTCTCCTGGCGCCTGAGGCCTGGACGGCTCAAAGTAGGGCCCCAAAAAACGCGGCACAGAAGCAACAAAAGCTAGGTAGGGCATCTCCATTTTGCTTTTGAAGCCCAATAAGGTAGGGCCCCTAGAAAGAGGAAGCCTAAACTAAACCCAAACCGGCTGCTCCTCAAGATAGAGCGGTTGAGCTGCCAACGATGAGGCACGCGCGAGGCTAAAACTACAGACGGAGATGGGCTGTTTAGAAAACACTGGTTTTTTAGGTGTGTCAACAAACAGATGAGATGATACCAAGAACAGTGGATACCGATGAGGAGATCTAGCTCTGGCAGGCGAGGCTTGGCACACCGAAGGTCCGCCCTTTCCTTCCTCCACCTCCATGAACTCAGCGTCTAGGTTTAGGGTTTAGGGTTTGGGGTTTTTGAGACAGGAGGCGCAAGCACTTGATGAAGGCGCGCACTTTGCCTCGGATGGGCAGAGGTGACAGCTGTACATCCTGGCTTCGCGAGCACCACAAAGTCTCAGGACAGCACGTGTCGGATGAGATTTCACAAGAAGGGCAAGGAAGATCATCTAAAGCACGTCGACTCACGTCGAACTCCACATGAAGCAGTTTAAGCCGAGCCTTTCACACACTGAACTCCGAAATCGAACCCTGTGAAAGGCAAACCCTCTCCCGCATGCATGTTCGTGCTTCAGTTCGCACGCGCCGGTGTATGGACAAGGGGCTTGGACCTTCGAAAACACACGAAACCTTGCGACTGAGCACGAAGTACTAAACCGCCTAGTGAGGATCCTTGGTGCTCTCATCGAAGCCGGATAGACCCCTACGTTTTAGAAAAGCCAGAAAGTCGCGGTGCCTGTGTAGAGCCGGGTCCATGGAATTGACAGAGAGATCCGCTCGATGCTGCCGCTGTGCACCCGAAAGCCTTCCCAACCTGGGAACCCGCTTTAGGGATCAGGGTTTAGGGTTTAGGGTTAACCTTTCTTGGGGTTCTGTAAGGGTTTAGGATCTACAAGGGTTTGGGGTTAACCTTTCTCAGGGTTCCGTAAGGGTTTAGGGATCTATAAGGGCTCAGGGTTAACCTTTCTTAGGGTTCTGTAAGGGTTTAGGGATCTATAAGGGTTTAGAGTTGACCTTTCTTAGGGTTCCTTTAAGGGATCTATAAGGGTTTAGGGATCTGTAAGGGTTTTGGGTTGACCTTTCTTAGGGTTCCTTTAACGGATCCATAAGGGTTTAGGGTTTTCCTTTCTTCGGGTTCCTGTAAGGGATCTCTCAGGGTTTCTCGGAGGGGGCGACAAGGACGGTTTTAAGGGTTCTGTAACAAAGGGCTTAGGGTTCAGGGTTTAAGGGCTCCTTTAAAGGAGGAGTCTTAGGGGTACTATATTGTTTAAGTGGTGGGTTGAGAGTTTAGGGCTTGGGGAATAGGGTTTAGGGTTTAAGTGTCGTCAGAATTTGAACATTACTATCAGTGCCGAGCTTTATTCTTGTCCCAATGGTTCTGACATGCTCTGACTATTCCAAGCAAGTGCTCGTGACATCACTGCATGGTCTCTAATAGGCTTAGGGTTTAGAACCTCTGAAATATGATTATTTTTGGGTTTTAGGGTTGTGATTATGTAGATTATAAATACACCCCCAACCCTTTTCTCCAACTATTGATGCCCCCGTCCCTTACGAAGACCCTCAACCCTGACACCCCAACCCCAGACCCTGAACCCGAACCTTAAAAGTCTTAAACCCTAAACCCTAAATCCAAAACCCTAAACCCTACGTAAACTCGAAACCCTAAACCCTAAACTGTACTTAAATGTACTTAAAACCCCGCTTTATGCGCCAAAAAGGGGCCGAGGATGGCCAAAGCATCTGGTCGGACCTGGCGCCGGAGATGAGAAAAATACGGTTTAGGGTTTAGGCTTTAGTTTAGGGTTTATAGAGCTTAGGGCACGGAACCATTCATGCTTGTGCCTTTTACGCATGTAGCTCGTTATTGTTGTGAAATTGCGAATTGAATTGTTGAAGTTATTATTGTTTTTATGGGTATCGTCGTTCCTGCTGTCATGATCTTTCTTCTTCTCATTGTTGCTATTCTTGTTCTGCTCATTGTTGTTGGCGGCTTGATAACTAGAAGAGGGTTCCCTCAAGGCTTCGCCACAAGGTACCACGGGAGGTTCCGGGTACAGATGCTCAAACACTTAGACTAGGGCTTGGGGACTTTTTTGCTATGGTTCAAATCGAGGGACCCAGAGAGCTAGTGGGGTTTAGGGCTCGGGGATGAGGGTCGAGGGATCAGGGTTCAGGGGTAAGCGTTTAGCCAAATATTGAGGCTATTGAGGTCCCCGTATATGACTTCGGGGCTGTTGGGGTTCAGGGCTGTTGCTATGGTCGGTGATCAGACAGAAATGTGTAGTGATTGTGCATCAACCCTAAACCCCTAAACCCCTAAACCCTAAACCCTAAAACCTAAAACCTAAAACCTAAAACCTAAACCTAAACCCTAAACCCTAAACCGTGCATCCTCTCATAGGCTCCAGAGTGTCAGTTGCCCTTCAACGAAACTGCTCTGCACCAGAGGCCGGTTCCGGGTTGGAAATTAAGTGTGCGCAGAACAGAACTCCGCAAAGGAATCCTGATTTCTGAATAACTCCCGCACAAGCCCTAAACTCTGGATAAACCGAATAAAACCTAAGACTAACCACAACTTTATTCACACTAAACCGTGGAACAACCCTTGTAAAGCCGAAGCCCTAAACCCTAAACTCAAACCCCTGAACCTTACTTCCCCAATGAGCCCGGGAAATAAGAGCTAAAACTTCCAGATTGCTACTGGAATCTAAGAACCGAGAAAGCTTAAAGGTTGGGCATTGGGCATTGGAGAACTAAGAAACCCTATAAGGCCCGAAAAGAGCCCTAAACCCTAAACCCTGAACCAGAGCCCCCTTTGAGCCTTCAGGTTATCAAGCTCGATAGAGCCGCTGAAGACCCCGAGATGCAGGGAGTCCTCGTGAGTCCGGGCTTTCAAGGCTTGGGGTTTAGGGTTTAGGGTTTAGGGTTTAGGGTTTAGGGTTTAGGGGTTTAGGGTTTAGGGTTTAGGGTTTAGGGGTTGGGCCTTTGGGGTCTTAGGCTTCCGTTTCTGGGATCCATTAGGGGGCTCTGAAAGGGTTCTCAAAAAGTTCCTTCAAGGGTTCCTTACTTGTCGGGTATCATGGGGAACTAAAGGTTAACCTTTGGGGTTATATAGGGATTATATAGGGATTGTACCACCCCAAAAAGGTTAAAGGTTACTAGGGATCTATAGGGGCTCTGAAGGGTTCTGGAAGTGTGT